TCCTCTGATTCCTCCCATTTAACGAACTGAATTTTCCTTGTGTATCACATGCCAAGCAACTCATCATGAACCGACAGTTTTACCGATGTTGCCTGAGTGTTGACGATTCGTGTATCACCACACTTTACTTACTTCCGCCCTGATGATGTACGACAACATGGTATATGCCTTTCTTGGCCGTATCACTGAGTGGCGCGTCACTCACCGGTCACTGTCCCTCCTCAGCCCTGAGGACTAGCCAACGCCTTCAATGCAGATAGACATGGGTGCGCATACCCGCGCGACGCCAACTCCACTGGCCCACAGTGTCTCTCTGTGTAGCAGTGACTGCATGAGTGGAGATTTGTTTGATCTAAGCCACATTAGACACATTTCAAGATGCGTCAGGCAGCTTGTGCGTCTCTGAGCTTCGATTAGAGTTTCGCTAGGACGTTAAAATAGAAGACGGGAAGTGGCTATTGCTCCACATCTACGACAGTAGGGCAATACCATTCTCAAGTACTGTTCGTGCGTACTAACTTTCCGATGGTTCGCACTACCATGACTACTGGATGTATGCGAAGTGCAATGGCTTTCATTGAAGTTACTACAGGGATGGAAGGGAAAGCTACGAACGGTAAAAGGGGATTGAAAACAAGAGAGCAGGCCAAGCACACATGCGCATGACAAAGACGAAAACGTCCGGCATGCTCAGTTGCAACAAAACGGATTGATCCTTCCGGACTGTGCAAACGTGAAGTAGTGACCCAAGGAGCAATACACAATCAGAAACACCCCAAACCCACCATAGCCAGAAAGCCTTAGCTTAACCGTACATTATGGAATGTCGCTCCACATCCTTGACCTTGGCGCGAGTATGTGGGAAGAGGGTCGAAACATGTCGTATCATTCGAAGTCAGAGAGCCGGGGTGGGGACTTGTGTATACGTGTTTGACATCATCGAGTGGCGTCGCTGCGGCGGTGGTTCCTACTAGACTGTCCGTATCAGGTGCTTTGATTGAAGCGAGCTCAATACCCTCATCAACCTCCTTATCCCTTGACTCATTCGCGTTCCGATCCGTCTTTCTGATGCAGGTCATGAGCAGTATCATGAAGAGGATGTAGCCCAGTAGGCTGGTTGTCCATGCGAGGATGATGGCGCAGAACATATAGGCGTCTCCAGCAGGTGGATTGTCAGTGAGAATTCTGCTGATGCGATCGATGGATTCCTGGCTGGGTGTCTGGCCATTGGATGTTGAGATATGAGCAGAGTCGCTATACTTCCAGTAGATATCGCCACGGTGGTTGTGGAAGTCCAAACCCAGACTGCCGTACACGGATTTAACCTTTCGCCAGCCACACATCTTATCATTGTCCAAAAGCAGTGTTGAGAAGCGGTTGAACACTAACGCATGGACGAGAGCGTTCGGGTAATAGGTGGTGTACTTTGTGACGATAGCGTAGTCGAACACGTCGTTCTCTTTTGGGTCGTTGAACGTGACCACTCCGCGATTGGAGCCTTGGTACGAGAGACAAACTGTATGCTGGGAATGGATCTTTGCGTCTTCGGCTCGAGGTACGCTTTTGGCGAAAATCAAGATGGGTGAGAGTAACATGACGAGGAGGGACACTAAGATCATGATAGCGATGTGAGGATGGTTTCTTGACGTGAGCGATTGGATGCCGTTTGCTATGGAATCCTTCGCCGTAAGAGCTGCGGCGCCGGAAGAATGGGGTGACGTGGGGAGAGATGAATGGGCGGGATGGCGATATTTTATAGGCAGCCAGGGCTGCGAGTAGATTTCGCGAGGCAAGTGGCGTAGAGAGATCATGGAAAGTAGCATGGCGCATGTGTTGTGGATGTTGCTAATTGAGAAAGGAGCAATCATGTTGCACGTTGTAATCTCAACCGTCAACCCGCCTCCAGCAGGACCGCACTCCATGCAAGGAAAGAAACCAAACATTTTCTCGCCTACTACAGCAAGACTAACAGGAGTGTTATATATACAGATGAATAGCTCAGGAGCCTACTATATTATAAATTTCTCTACGCTCTTTTGTTATGCGTCGTTAGATTGTAAATTTGCCGAAAGCAACGGCAGCTCTGATTAACCAGTCATACAGACTCACAGCTCAGCAAGTATATCTTCGGTAGCTTTCTCGCTGATCATCATAGTAGGCAACACAGGAAAGCCTCCTGGCACCTTCGGAAACGAGCTTGCGTCTACCACTCGAAGCCCTCTCGTCCCCTCACTCTGAACTTGCTGTCCAACACGGCGTACTTATCTCCATCAGCACCAATCCTGCAACTACTACTAGCGTGGTGACTGTAAGCTTGCTCTTTGATGTACGTCTTCTGGCTCTCGACCGTGCAGTTCTGCTTCCCAATCACACCTTCGCATGGGTGGAGCTCTTGGAAAGGACCCAATGAATCGGGTGCCGATGGATCCACTTTCGACAACCAGGAACGTACCCATTCGGCACCTTCATAGATGGCTTGGAGATCCTCCTCTGCTCCATCTTTGAAGAAATTGAGGTTGATGGCAGGAACGTCGCGTGGGTCAGCAGATCGAAGTTCAACCGTGCCGGCTTGCGAGCGCGGATTCATGTGAACCATTGCGCACTCGTACTGTGCTGGGCCATAGGTTTCATTGAAGTATGGAGGCCGGTTTGGAAAGCTATCAGTAGGGTTAGCGCTGGTCAAATGGAGTGCTTCAATCGTTCTAACAGCATACCCTGGCCAGAAACCTTCGAAGAGAAAAGAGCCACACCACATGTAGATATCACGAATACCCAGTTGCGAAGTGGAAGACTTCCAAAAGTTGGGGAAGATCTCTGACATGCCAGTAACGGCACGCTTGCCAAGCGACAAGATACCGGCCTCATAATTGTCAGCCATCTGTCTGCCCACACCGGGCGAGTCAACCACCGGGAAGATATTAAACTTGGTGAGTTGCTCAAGCGGGCCGATGCCAGAGAGCATCAGGAGCTGTGGTGAATTAAATGCGCCCCCAGAGATTATTACTTCCTTAGACGCGAATACTTTCCCCGCGACACCCTTGTCGTCAGCGTTGTAGCGAGGGTCGGCACTATACATGCTCTTCCCATGCAAGTATTCAATGCCAATCGCCTTGGGCAGACCCAGAGAAGCCTTGTCGAAGATGATCCTAGTCGCCAGTGTGTCCAGCAAGATGGTCAGCGGGTATTTGCCTGAAGCAGCAGTATCTCGAGCGTAGTATCCGGGCGATGACCGGCGCCCATTGGGGTTGATATGACTAACGCCACCGAAAGGTCCGACGAGCTGGTCACGATCGGGTTGGGCTCCGTTCATATCGCGCTGTAGTAGCTTTGAAGCAGACGACGCAGAGTACCCCGCAGCTTGCGCAGCAAATTGACTGAGCTGCTTGGCATCAGCGCTGGTCGTGTAGCCAGGATCTAGCATAGTCATGTCGAGCCAACCGTCATGGCCATGTTCGTATGAGCTGTTGTAATGCACTTTCTCGAGCTTGACGAGATGCTTTCTCATATTCTCATGCGACCATGAGTCATCTCCAGTCATCTCAGCAATCTCATCCCAGTCCGCATCGTTGGGGTTCATAGTCAAGCAGCCATTATGCATGGCACAACCGCCTAAAGTGCCTGCGCGCGGGTAGTACTGTATGGATAGTCAGGACCCACTTCGAGCATGTGCACTGGAAGAACCTCACAATGCCCAGGGCGGTAGAGTCCTCAGGAGGCTCCATGCCAACGTAGAAGCCTCCATCTGGCTTACGCCAAGTTCTGTGCAGATATCTCGCTTCCCGGGCTTCGTCGTCGGAGTGCTTGACAAAGAAATCCCAACGCTAAGCAATCTATAAGTCGTGTCTTCGTGCTGTCGGATTTTGCACGTACCGTAGCAGGGTCGTTGCCTGCTAGATTGAAGTTCAACCAATTCGACACATTGAGATTCTCCGTCTGGTCATCTCCAGCTTCGAGGAGCAGCACTGAGTGCCCAGCTCTGGCAAGATTGGAAGCAAGTGGTCCACCGCCAGGTCCAGAACCTACGACGATGTACTCGTACGTGTTGTTATTAATCGTCGTTGCGGCGACGACTTTCACGCTTAGTAAAGCGATAGCGGCAATAATCGAGCTAAGAGAGCCCATGATGGAGGGAGCGTACGAGATATTGGAAGCGTCAATCTCAAGCTTGAGTAAGGAGGTGAAGCTATAGTTCAAGTATGCTCTTTCTTCACCTCTGAGCTAGCCGATGGTTGTTGACCTGCAAATATCGCCGGATATGCAGGCACAGAGCGCAATCAATGTAAGGCGATTAGTACACCCAGCACAATGACGGCCTGCAGTAAGCATACATCCATCCTCGACCAATCTTGTCACGGGAAATGGAGGTTGCAACTTGCCTAAGATCTTCTGCATATATTTCCTAGCTTTCGGCTTGCAGTCTAGAGTGACTGGACGAGAGGGTAATCTCTTATTCGCTCGGCTATACCGCAGCATATCGTGCTGCATACCCAACGCAGTACCAGAATTGTGTTGCCAATATCAGCTTCTAGGTTGATGCTATATCTATATAGCTGTTCGAACGGTGAATCTGCAGATGCGAGAGTAGATTAGCATGCGTTGGTCGCAGCCAGCTACCGTTGCAGTACACTTGCGACGTCCTCACCAGTCGCTGGAGTGAACTGGATAGGCTGAACGTAAGCCTGGAACTGGTAGTTTCAGTAGTGCTATTGTAACATGAACATCCACTATGTATACGCTGCAGCTTCTCTGACGTCAATTTAACGCTTGCAGATCATGTGTCATCACAAATATCTCGTGTGTTGCTAGTGTCGACCCGTGCTCGATGAACTCGATTCGACTTTTGGTAACTACTAACCTCGGCGGGTTACGCGTTGGCATCGAAGCGCGAGCTTATAGAAGCGCAAACAAGCTCGCAGGTTGGTTAAGGCTTGCACTGCATCCAGGCCTTCAATTGCGAATGTGTTTAGTGAACCATGGCGGCTTTTGTAGCGCTTAACCCTTCAGATGAACTCGCCAACTTCGCCAACCGCCTCGTCATCATCCATCGCCTCCTCGTCGATACCGTTGAGCACATCTTCCTCGATAGGCGGCTCAGACTTGATCTTGGTAGCAGCAAGGGCTTTCTTCTTCGTGATCCGCCCAGCCTTGACAGCTATGTCCCGGATTAGCAATGCGAACACGTACCTGCACGTATCCGCAATACGTACCACCCTTGGCTGGACTAGCAGCGCCCTTCCTTGCGCGTGTCTTCACCGGGCTCTTCGCAGCGCCCTCACGACCTTCAGCTTCATCCTTGAGAGCTGCAGCCTCCTTCTTCCACTTGCGCAATCGGTTCTCGAGAGCATGGTAGGTCATGTCGCCGCCATGGAGACGAGCAACTTCCTTGATGTCAATCTGACGAAAACGGCGGGTTAGAATGGTTTGTGGAAGGGAGTTGCAGTGTGTAGTTGTACTCACCTCGTTGTCGAAGGAGGCAAGGGTCGCGATGAAGAGACGCTCGAGCACCTCTTTGTCGTTCCAGTTAATCGGCATCTTAGTGGCAGGACTGTCAAGTGTTAGAAAGTACCAGACAATTCTATGATATTTAATGCGCATTGAGAAAAGAGCTGGGATATCAGTTGTGACAAGCTGTGATGGCTAGGAAGTGCACAAGGTGCGGCTGTGGACGGCTGTGTCGAGCGGTTGCGATAACTCCTCAGAGCGCATGTCTGTCCACTGGAGCATTTACTAGGGTAGGAAGAAACTCACATATTGAGGATAGCTGATTGAGCTGTTTATTAGGATTGAGACGTCGAGTATCGCTGTTAGTGTTGTTGGGGTAGTCCAGTGTCTGAAAACAGAATGCAAGGTAGTAGAATGTCCGAGATATACGTGGAAGATAGTGAAGGCGACAGTTAAAAACGGCGGGCCACAACTCCGTCCGCTGCCCTTCTCCGCCTTTACACCGCTCGTGTGTCTCCATGGGATAGACGTAGTAAAGGCGAGCGAATTTGTCGACCCGCGTATGGTCCGCGTATGGTCCGCGCAAGTCATTTTGTTGGACGTGAAACATGTATAGAAGACGACAAGTAGAACAAGTAGTCTAGGCTATGGGACCACACTGTCCATGTGGCGAGACAGTAGTGGCGGAAAATCACTCTGGGGATCTTGGTATATTTTGGTGGTTGGCATCGCGTGCTCGAATGAAAAGACTCCATGTCCAGGACCTCCAGGATTTCCTCGGACATGATGTGTCCTGGTTGATCAAAGTGATGATATCCAGTGCATCGGGACTATATTAAACCTTGGCCTTGTTTGCCTTTGCATCATCTCGTTCTTTCCTACCCTTTTTACCTTCAGCTTTATGCCGTTTTGCCTCCTCCCTTGGATCAATGACCAATAGCTCCTCTTCGTTCTTCCGCTTCCACTCGAGGTCTTTCCCTAATCTGTCTTTCGCGAAGCTCAACGAATGCGACATCCACCCTGCGTCGTCATCTGAATCCTCTTCGTCCTGCTTATCCCAGGCTTTACAGGACTGGCAGCCTACTATGAAATGCAAGTCACACGCAGCTTCGTCTTCCTGGTCGTCTTCACCCCTATCTTCGTTGGTGTGGCCGTTCGCCGTATCCTCGGGTAGTGCCGGTGTTGCGATTTTCGGGGCTGCGGCTGAGTCGGCTGATTCCAGTTTCGACTTGAATCGGGAGAGGATGTCCAGCGCGGACTGTTCGTCCTTAGTGTTGCCGCCTGCCCCTCGCTTCCGTCCCCGTGTTGTGGATGTTGGCACCATAGCCTCTAGCAACGACTTCTTCTTGACCGGTCCTGTATCTTGGGCTGATGTGTTTCGCTTCATAGATGCCTTGAGATCGGCGATCTGTTGGTTCACACGGTCTAGCTTCGATCGCTTTTCGGACTCGGGCGAGAGTTCTCGTGGGGGTGCGGGCTTTGGGCTTAGGTGGTGATATGGGGGCGGCTTTTGTGCGAGTTTGGGCGAGGGGGATGGCGGCGGTGACTTTCGCGATGGCTTGCGTATGGGTATCTCTCTCGTGTCCTCAGGTGCTTTCGACGCGGGCTTGTCCTCGCCTGCACTGACTAGCTTGGTGTTAAACTTGGGCTTCTTCGCAACAGGAGCCGAGTCAGCCTCAGCTGCATCATCACCAAAACTGAGCACGTTCTTGCCGGCCTTCCGCTTCGGCTTCTTAGCCTTCTTCGTCTCTGGTTCTGTCCGCGCTGCCACTTGCGCCCTCTTGACCATGTCCTCGAACGGGTTAATAATTATCTCAGCGCCGGTGACCTTAGTCGGGTACATGGGCTGGTCCTCACTTCCGTCCCGTATCTCAGCCTCGGCCATCTTCATCAGGTTGTAGATGGTGTCGCCTGCCACCCTGCCGAACATGGTGTTCTTCCCCTGCAGCTCCGGCGTCGCGGCCAGTGTGAAGAAGAACTGGCTGCCGTTGTCGTCCTTCTTTCCTGTGTTGGCCATGCCCAGCAGTCCTCGCCTAGTATACTTCAGCCGACTGTGGAACTCATCCGCGAAAGGCTCGCCATCGTAGCTACTCTCTCCGCCCTGGCCGGTGCCTGTCGGGTCTCCTCCCTGGACGATGAAGCCCTTGACCAGGCGGTGGAAGACGGTGTTGTCGTAGTAGCCATCGAGACATAGCTGCAGGAAGTTGCGCGAGGTTATGGGCGTCTGCTTCGCGAATAGCTCGATTTCCAGGTCACCGGTAGTCGTGTGGAGGACGACTTTGGCGGTAGGGTTCGGCTCGAGGTTGTATGTCGTACTCATCTTGGCGATTTGTGCCCGTTATCCTAGGTGCGCCGTGGTTGCGCTCGTGGATGATTCGCGAAGTCGCGTGGAGCTCGTGTCTCGAAAAAGTTGACCAGTGAGCGCTGAGCAGCCTCGCACGGGCCTCGGGTAAAGGTGCCGCGACGTCATCCTGGCTTCCCTCTTCCCTTCCTACGCCAGACACACTCGCACCGTCCTTTGCACTTTCACCCCCCGAGATGATGTCGATGTTCTGCATATAAATTCGCTGTTGCTCTCCTGTTACCTCCCCCTAAACTACGCCATTGTCTCCTGAGTCTGGCCTTACGTCAGCTTGACAGTTGGCATCATGTTGCCCTACATCAACGCACGTACGTTTTAGCGAATTGAGCCACTACCAGGTATACTGACTACTTTGAAGCTTTTGAATATGTGGCTGGTGTGCTTGGAAACTCGGCTGATGAGCGTAAGAACTTCCAAGGTGCCCATGGAAGATGCTGCTTAGCTAACCCCGCCCAGTCAAGCTCGTCTTCTCTTTTTACTTGTCATATCCCTTAGCTGCTATCCTAAAAAGGATACCTGACAAGGATCCATGGAAGAAGAATCTCTTCGTGATAGGGTGAGGTAACTCATTCATGACATGGTGTTGCGTAGTATTAATGATTCCAGCGTCTCTATGTTCTACCTAGTGGGACTTTTTGACCTATGGTCTGGCCTAAGAACCATACTCATCAGTGCTGGCGGAGCCTACCTTATCTCTTCTAAGATCCACTCGCCGTACATGCCATGGATCGGGTTCGTGTTCCTTATGGGCCACATGTCAGTGAACCACATTTACCGACAAGCCGTAAACGACCCATCTGTCTTCGACATCACCGGAGCTCAAATGGTTCTGGTCATGAAGCTTACCGCCTTCTGCTGGAACGTCCAAGACGGTCGCCTTCCTGATTCTGAACTCACCGAAGTCCAGCGAGACCACGCCATCCGGACTATGCCCAGTATCCTCGACTACATTGGCTACGTCTTCTTCTTCCCCGCCATCATGGCTGGTCCAGCCTTTGACTACGCCGACTACAGTCAATACATCACCACGACTATGTTCACACTCCCCCCAGGCACTGATCCATCGAAGGCGCCACCAACGCGCAAGAAGCGTAAGATTCCTCGCAGCGGCATGCCTGCCTTCATGAAAGGAATATACGGTACCCTCTGGCTTATAGCGTTCATCAAGTTCTCAAGCTGGTATTACCCAGCTTTCTTCCTTGGTGGCGAGTACATGCAATACAACTTCTTCCGTAGGGTCTGGCAGCTCTATATGCTTGGTCTTACAACTCGCATGAAGTACTATGCAGTTTGGAGTCTGTCTGAGGGTTCATGCATTCTCTCTGGAATCGGCTATAACGGCCTTGATCCCAAGACTGGCCGACCCAAGTGGGATCGTCTCACCAACATCATGCCACTCGAAATCGAGAGCGCGCAGAATGCTCGCGCTTACCTTGGCTTTTGGAACATCAACACCAATAACTGGTTGAAGAACTACATGTATCTTCGAGTGACACCAAAGGGTCAGAAACCTGGCTTCAGGGCTACTCTAGCGACTTTTGTGACCAGTGCATTTTGGCATGGCTTTTACCCTGGCTATTACCTTGCGTTTGTCCTAGCAGCATTCGTACAAACTGCCGCGAAGAGTAGGTCGCCTAACATATGCCTAACATATCGCACGCTGACAAGTACCAGATGGCCGCCGTTTGATTCGCCCACTGTTCATGACGCCTGATGGAAAATCGCCCTTGCCTTCCAAGAAATACTATGACCTATTTACCGTCTTCCTTACGCAGACTGTCTTTGCCTATGTAGTTGCACCCTTCATCTTGCTCGGTTTCTCCGACACGATCAAGGTCTGGGCAAGGGTCTACTTCTACACCCTGATCGGTGTCGCAGCATCCTTCGCACTCTTCTCGAGATCGTTCCCCTTCCGAAAGCAGCTCGTTCAACGTCAGTCGGCTCGTACGCCGTCAGCCGCAGCAAACCCCTACAGCGATCCTGCGATCAAGAAGGCAGCACGCGAAGAGATCCGAAGAGAAAGGCTAGCGAGGACCAACTCGGCAGATAGCGTTACTAGCCATGCTAAGATGCCTCTCCTGGGTATTGCAGACGATCCTGAAGCTGAAATTGACGAGATAGTAGCAGAAGTCAAGGCAGAGATCGAGCAAAGAAAGAGGAGGGGTAGCGTCATGCAAGGGTTCGACGTCAAGAAAGCCGTGCAAGAGAAGCTGAAGCAGTTCAATAGAAAGGGGTAGAGCAAGGTACACTTGAAGCAATGGTCCAGTTACAGGAATGTCTATGAAATAGGTATGAGAACGTAAACGGTCTGGAGCTGAGCCGTTCAACATAGCCTGAATACATATGCAGTAACAAGAGCTGGTGCGGACTCGATTCCGAACCTCTTCGCGATCGGCCAAAGCTGACCCAGATCTTCGTGCACGTTCATCGCTTCTGCCCAACGTCAAGAGACCGGGCAAATCATACCGCCCAGTTCAACGGTTCAGCCCAGCATCAGGTACCGGCAATTGCAGAGATTGTCACCTCGTGTCGAAGCTAGCGAGTGTCTTGCATTCCAACGTGGCGCGAACTCTATTTCTGCGCCATCCGTCGATAGTGCCGGATTTTTGATGCCGACGCCGCGTCACTCCAGCGCCACACACGAGAAACCCGAGAACTTCTGCACCCGGTGTTTTGAAAGCTTCTGTCACCGAAAGTCTACTCTGAACTGCCGAAATGCCATCGAATTGACAGCCATTGTGCGATCGCCGCATTGCACATACGCATGCGATTGTTGAAAAAGAGGCTAACGGTCTAGAATGTGAGATCAGTCGGTTGCACAGATCGGTCCGACAAATCGCACAAGCGATCGCGCATCCCGCTTGATCTGAGACCCCCTAGGCGCACATCTGCATGGGGCGCCCGCCGCTCCATGTTAACAATTCAACTCCGTCCATCAGGTTGCAACAGCTACCTGCCGCCTCGTCATCTCCGGGAGCCAGGTACTTGGAAGGAATATCCTTGTTCACCATGTTGGGCGATCGCGTTCCCTCGAGCATTTTCGTCCCTGCTTCATCACTCGGCTCCATTTCACTGCCGGATATTCTGCTAACGGTGCCGCCTCCTCGGACAGGCTTAATGCCCGAATGATGCATTCCAACCGATTGCAAGACACGAGGAAAACATGTAGTGTTTACGCCACGCTAGCCTGATCTGACTCCACTTCCCGAGGACATGCTTCTAGTGTACCAATTCCAAACGCACCACGTCGCGTGTCGAGTGGACAATCCAGCATCCCATAACTACCACATTTCCTTTCCGCCACAGAATTCGGCGAATGCCGAGATAATGTACCGCCGGCTTGGGTATGGTTGGGACCGTGTCCAAAGTGTCTGGGCTGATACTGCTTCATGGTTTTCATCCCCCGCAACCCACGGCCGCCTATCTTTGCTTGTTTCTTCTATCTTCACATGGATGCTCATCACGCATGAGCGCATACTCACTTTGGTTGATAAAGACTGGGGTCCTCCAGACTGAGCGCACAGAAATGGGTGTACCGGATAATGGCCCTGTAATTGCTGGCGTAACATGGATGTTGACGGTATTGAGTGGTGGTTTTTTGGCTGTGAGGCTGTATGCGAAGACGAGTCGCAGACAAGGTCTTTGGTGGGATGATCACATCTTGACCATTTCATGGGTTAGTTTACATCGTATGATAAACCCGATTGGGCTAACATTGTGTGAACAGGCCCTTCTACTTGCCCAGGCCGCCATCACCCAAGCAGGACAGCAGTTGGGGTTCGGAAAGCGAATGGAAGATATTCCAGTCAAGTACCTTACCACTATCTCCCTCGGCATGTCCGTTGCCGCGTCGATATCTTGTTTCGCATCCACATTTTCGAAGATATCCTTTGGCGTCACGCTACTCCGCCTCACGACAAGCTACCTGCGCTGGTTCGTATGGTTCTGCATCGTGACTCTCTTTCTCATAATGCTGCCAAGTGCGCTGGCTACATGGGTTCGGTGCCACCCGATGGAGAAGGCCTGGAACGACACTATTCCAGGGACCTGCTGGGATCCCACTCGCTCCGTGAACTATGGTATTTTCAATGCTGCGTGGTGCGCTGCGGCGGATTTTGCGCTCGCGCTTTTACCATGGTATCTGATATGGGGATTACAGCTGAAGCTCCGCGAGAAGATTGGAGTGGGCATTGCTATGAGCATGGGTGTATTGTAAGTGCCTTCGTACCGACCCTGCTCACCAGAGAGATTGTTTCGAAGTAATACTAACATGAGTTCCCAGATCTGGTGTTTGCGCAATCGTGAAGGGGGTGTATGTCATTCAACTTGGCCAGAAAGACTTCTCATACAACGGCAAGGAGCTCACAATCTGGACTGCCGTCGAGACAGCAACCGCCATTATTGCCGCTTCCATTCCTGTCCTCCGTGTGTTCTTCAAGGAAACCATATCTTCTTATTCACGCTCGCATACCCGAACAAACAAAAGCGTACCGCTGTCAAGATTAAACCAAAGTCAACACTCTACAACTACCACGACCGTGCACGCGATGGAAAAAGGAAAAGAGGGCCGGTGGACTGTGATCGAGGACAATGGAGATGACTCGAGTCAGAGGGGTATATTAGACGACGAAGAGATGGGAAGAGTTCGCCGCTTGACGGCATACGAGGACGATCACATCATGCAGACAAACACCGTTACGGTGACGTTTGAGAGCGATGCTCGGTCTGATCACAAAGCTAGATCGTTTCTGGGTATAGCCCGCTGATGAAGCTATTAATGATACTTTTGGCAAACAAGACATTGTTTATTTGTATAGATTGGGAGCACCTAAATCGCCCACCAAGCATAAGTGTGTCTGAGCTACCCACCCTCAGGTTCTGCAGTACAAGCGACGAGATTCCGACACAACCATAGATGGTTTTATGTCCAAGAAGACGTGAATCTATGTGAATATATTTGTGTCTTGTCGTGGCCGACATGTCGTAGATAGCTTCGGCACATCCAATATGCTCAATGTGGATGACTCTCTGGCTGCCCGCGTAGGTAGTGTTGCATGTGTCTGAACATCGATTGATAGTGTGTTCTATAACAAGGTACGAAACGCAGTCAGTCAGTCTAACCCGGTCGTGAAGGTCGCGGTCTTGTTTAGTTAGCGTTTGGCATGAACTGACCCTCTTCCACGTGGCGGGCCGAGGGGCTTGGCCGGTGGAACTCGGCTTGGATACAGGGGCATCAGATTTGCCTCGGCCTGTCGCTCGCGGCCACTGGACCATACGCATACCCTCATATCGTGATGCCACACTGTGTCCACCTTGAATGACACATGCTGCTACTACCCGCGCCGTAAAGGACGATACTTTAACATCTGCGATGAGCCTCTTGCTGTGATGCAAGCACAACAGCGTCGGGCCCGTAAGCAAAGCTGGTAAAGGCACCCTATGATTGCACCAGAAGGAAGAGGCTAGATTATTTGCTGCATCACTAAATTATGACACCACCTGCTATCTGCAACCTGGTTTACCACTACTGATGCGCGAAATCGACTCCGATACATCGATCGGTCGTCACCTAAGGCATCATACGATCCTCAGTAATACTACCAAACGTCCACGTCGTTTGGCCCCATTATCCATCTAATCGTAGCCGCATCGCCATCATCGTCCCAAAGATAGATTTTGGTGGTGAGTGAAACAAAAGCAATTCCTTCCTTTAGAATATCGTAACGCCGACTCGAACGACGAAAGTATCCGCCCTGTCGCCCTTCTATGCCGCGCGGATGCGCCCGAAGCCTGAATTGGTTCTCATGCGACTTTCGCTGAGCCCGGTACCACGTTGACGTAGGCTCCAGGTGAAATCATCGACCCGGTCAGCCAACTTTGACAGCTAGTTTTCAGAATAGAGTCCGGTCGAAGTAACAAGCCTGTAGTTGTTAGATGTCTAGAGCCTTCTAGTCATGCATCAAGTTTCTTCACCTGGAATATTGGTATGTGGTCTTTCTATACCGAGTGTCCTTGTCGCTGTGATTGATCATTGATAAAATCCTTAAAATTGCACATCTTGCTCGCATTCACGACGACGGTTGATCAAATATAGATTGTAATCTAAAGCGAAGAACTGTGATTGCTCTGCGACTACATAATCAAGCTCACCGCTGGCAAGATTCTACCAATGTTGAACCAGAAGAACCTGTGCTGAGCTTGTGATCCTATACTGAAGATCCAAAAGGACCCGAAAGGTCTGCACAGTCCTAGGACGCCTAGAACGTCTTGAACTTTCCACCCAAACCTCCCCACTTCGAAGCCCAGGCGTTGTTCGAGTAGTATTGCTGCCAAACTCCATCGTCCATTCCGATACCGAAAACGTCGATTCGTCCCTTGCCCCACGAGACAGCTGCTGGAGCGCTTTTAAATTTACCACCGATTCCCTTCCAGTCACCCACCCAGCCACCATTGTCGTATGCCTTGTGGTACATTTGGTCATCTAGTCCAATGCCGAAAACGTCGATGCGGCCCTGACCCCATGAGACCGCTGACGGGACGCTCTTGAACTTGCCATTGATTCCCTTCCACTCTTTGGTCACCCAGTTTGTTCCATTGTACGCTTTGTGGTACATCTGGTCATCCATCCCAATCCCAAAGACGTCAAGTCTGCCTTGGCCCCACGATACAACGATGGGTTGGCTTTTGAATTTGCCAGTCATCGGAGTCCAACTTGAAGTAGTCCATGCTTTACTTTCCCATGCCCTGTGGTACATCTGGTCGTCCAAACCAATCCCAAAGACGTCGAGTCGATCACTACCCCATGACACCGCTGCCGGAGGGCTCTTGAACTTGCCAGTTAGTGGTTCCCAGCCTCCCGGGCTCCACTGTCCCCCATAAACCTTGCGATACATCTGATCGTCCATGCCGATGCCAAAGAGGTCGATTCGTCCATTGCCCCAGGAGACAGGTACCGGTGGGCTCTTGAACCCACCTTCTATGGACTGCCAGTCGCTAACAATCCAAGAACCTCCTGTCTTCCTGTTGTTTCCCCACGCCTTGTAGTACATCTGGTTGTTGAGACCGATGCCAAAAATGTCAAGTCGACCGAAACTCCAGGAAATGGCCGCGGGGATCTGCTTGAACTTGCCACTTAGTGGCTCCCATGCAGCATCAACGCTAGGCTTCCAGCCACCGTCGCCTCTGTCGAACCTCTTGCGGTACATCTGGTCATCCATACCGATCCCAACGACATCAAGGCGGTCTGGGCCCCAGGATTCAACAGAGATCCAGGGACGCATAGCAATGGATGTAGAGCCCATGTTTGAGTGTTGTTCGAGGTCTAAGTGTATTAAAATCAGATTTGTATCAGGCGTCATCAAGGGAATACTGACTTCGGAGTGGTAGAAGAAAGGTAAACTGGTAATGATGATGTGAAGTCACAAGAAGCAGGCTGTATCTTTCCACAGTGCCTGAACTGGATGTATTTATATTGTCATGGAGCTATTCAAGAAGTCGATGTGCCTTTCCTTGTTTCAGTTCTAGGTCTGACCTATCTTCTTAGCGTTGACGAAAATAGAAAATGGGGTTGATAGCGACTGGAGGCAATGGGAACACTCCGAGAAAACAAAAGTATTGTACATATGCATCATGCTAAGCTCATTTAGCTTTGTGGATTATGAAACTATCAAAGGATTGCGTGGATAGCAGCCAGAGATGTTGGTAGCATTCCAAGGAAAAAAGAAGTTGATACATCTGTATCATGCCAGTCTTATGTCACTTGTCAAGATTTGTATCTCTGATCATTCTTACACATTCGATGAGGTTCATACAGGTGAGAGCCCCAAGACTAAGGTGTTGCTAGCCTAAGCATCATCAAAATAAAACTTGCATGATCGAGTTTTGTTCCATGGCAGATGATCTTGTCGTCTGACACGCAGTCACCTTTGCAGTTGCCATTACGTGAACATGGTCGTATGCATAATGGCTACGAAGATCTTCCATGTTCCTGCACCCATCACCTGATGATACCAAAAAATGCGCATCAATACCTGCGACTTCATTGCTTTTGAAGGCCAAGGCTTAGCTAGGCGCTAGGTGTGCCAAACCATGCGGAAAGGACCGGCCCTTATTAGTTTACATAGGCGTTCTATGTAAACTAGGGTATCAAATCAGCGCTTGCCACATCAGAGGAGTCTACTACACCCAGTAGCTTGTTTATACGAACGAGTAATACGTGCAGTCCCGTACCTCACTAAGCAGCGTCGTAAGACGCCTCCGACGAAGCTCTCAATGTGAGTGAGAGATGTACCCGCTTGGTATTCACAGCTAGTAGGTGTATCAAAACGCCTATGTAGATGATGTGTAGAAGCAGCATGGGTCAGCCAGTTACCGATTATGCGGCCTGATGATCGGACCGTTCCCCGCAAACATCTACTAGACCCTAACAAGCCTCTAGAAAAGCATACAGTGCGGGTGTGGAGTGATCTTGAATCCTAAACACATTTGCATTCACCGAATTGCAGGTGCCGTCTAAGTGATGTGGCTTCTCTGCTACAATTCAAAATGTCGTACGACGCATGTAAGACGTGGTATGGGCCCTTTTCCCTTTCCAAATCTTAGCCTACGAGAGTAGTCCACGAGAAGCATCACGTGTGTTGTAACCCGTTTCTGCAATGTTATCGTGGGCAGACACAAAGTATGGTATCAGTATCGGGTTTCGCGTATGGATGTATAGAATTTAACATAACCTACACGTGAGTCGCCAAGCGCCAGTGTGGTACACAGGGTTTCCATCAATAGGAGTCGCCTAGCAGAGACTAAGTAAAAGTCAATCGGTACAAGAGCGTATGCAAATACTCCAGACTGAAACTCAGCCGAGACTGCGCCGCATACGGCAGCGCTGATTATCACACCACAGAACTGTTACAACAACGGCCTTTCCAACCGCCTAGTGAGCACTGCTATCTATCCACCGCCCGTTGAGTTGCGGGACTATCCGAGATCTTTAGCTCCTAAGCAGCGCTAAAACCCCGCAAAAATCCCGCAAAAATCCCGCAAAAACCCCACCACACTTGTCAATTCTTGGACTCTTTGCTCAGGACAAAGACTTTGCCAATCGGGGCACAACACTCGACCCGTTGAGCTAACTATACGCTGCGCCAGACTCCTGGACTCGCGGGCTGCGCTCATGTCCCCTAGCGGCATGAGGTGAACGGAAAGCTACTTGGCCAACGTTACATACTCACTACAGAAAAGCAAAATGCAGCTCGTCATCGAGCATGATTATACGATGCACGACAAGTCGTGCTCGAACTTTGTGTTTGAGATGCATGCCAGCAACATCGCCCAGTCTAAGCGAAGCTACCACGACATCGCCCGACCAGGTCCAGATCGCTAGACCGTGAGGAGCGCAGGCGAGTACCATCAAGCTGATGCACTATCAGCTCCAGAACTACAAGCAGCAATGGCATCTCGTGTTAGACGACATGGACGACGCTCATTATCTTCAATATCGGGATGAGGACTGAGCCGCGCTAGCAATAGCGAAAGTATTCGCGCTGCGGTTTTTGGAAGAACATTACAGTTCGCCTAGTTACTAAGAAGAAGGAGGCGGCGCTACAGCAGGTCGGGCAACCGGTTGACACGGCATATACCGCCTACAGCATGCGAGAGCAATGCAAGAGGAAAGCTACTGCTTCTGTGCACTCACCGCCTTCTCGTCAGACTGGTACTTCTCGATTGAAAGGTTAACGATTGTGGATCTGAAGAATGCTCAAGTGCGTTTGATCAGGTGCTAACGCGCTATCCAGCCTACACAGTCCTCAAGCACTCATTGACAATAGTGGCCACCTGCAGACATTCTTCATCGCGCATCCTATTCGTGAAGACTTGTATCGAAGTCGGTGCGCCGTCTACGACCTTGGGATCGTCTGTGCGCAGCACACATTAGCCTGTATCTCAACAACAGTATGTAAAGTCAGGAGATGACAACTTACAGCTTGGACCTACTTGGTCAGAGCCCATGGTGAAGTGCTCGGCGTCAAGAGCACTCGATGCTTTGCCGAAAGGTATGATGCATGCGGGATACTGGCACGGCCGTTAGCAATATTCCTTTCTTAGCATTTTCGGATGCTTGACTACAACTTACATCCAGTACGTTTAGCAGCAACGTATACGGCGGTAATCCGTACGTGTCATGCGCAACCGCAGTGTTCTGCGCCGCCGGTCCGATTACCGCATCCAGTCTCTCGTCCCTCCATACCTTCCTCCACTCATCCGCGATAGACTCTCTCTTCACATTAAGTGCTGCCACCCTTGGTATGCCCTGTAGACCTTCGCAGTCGGCCAGAAAATCGCACTTGAAGCTGCCAAATGTCTGCATAGCCTGAATCACAGACGGTACAAGAGGCTCACCACTAGCGGCTATATGCGCTGGGGGCTCATCAAGCCCAAAATAGGCAAACCCGAGAGCCAGCGCATTGGAGACTTGTGCGCGCAACGGCGATATAGGAACAACCTGGTGACCCTTGGCTTCTAGTGCTCTGACCGCTTGAGCCAGTGCTCTTTTAACCGGTGGGTGCAACGGGAAGGCTGAGTCTTCGGTCAAAAGACCGAGTCTCAATTTCGGCGCGCTCGGCGGTACTTCCAGGTCTCTCCAAGGGACGTCGAGAGCGGTGGCGTCGTACATGGCCGGTCTCGTTGACAAGACTGACCGACATAGGATACGCAGTGCTTGTATGTCGTTTGCCAACGGGCCAGCGGATGGCTCGAAGAAGGACATGCCATCTCGCACAGGAGAAGGCTGGCCACCAAATGGAATACGCGCTGTAGAAGGCTTGAATCCATACGTGCCACAGCAGAGGGACGGTATACGGATAGAGCCTGGTTTTGGTCAGTGAGGGTGATAGCTACAAACTCAAAGATATGTACTAACCTGCAATGTCTGTTCCGATACCAAGAGGAGATCCTCGGAATGCAATGAGCGCTCCTTCGCCTCCACTAGAGCCTCCCGCCGTCAAAGCAGTATTATGAGGGTTCAACGTCCGCCCGAAGATGTTGTTATGTGAGTCTGCCGTCTATGCAACATTAGTGTATGATCCCTCTCAAGGTCACGATAAGATAGTGTACTTGCCATCAGGGTCTGCGGAATGTTAGTCTTGACATATACAACTGCACCAAGCTCCAGCAGGATCTCCACAAGCGGTGAGTTCTTCTCCGATAATGCATGATCCAGGAAAGAGACAAAGCCGATAGTTGCCGCTGTTCCGGCGATCTGGAAACCGTCTTTGACACTTATAGGCAAGCCATGAAGGGGACCAACGAGACGGCCCGCAGCTCTTTCACTGTCGAGGAAGCGTGCTCGGTCTTGTGCTTCAGGAAAGTATGTCTCTGTAAGGCAAGAGAGCTAGGATACTGTGTCAGTCAACTCGTTGGCATTCTGGAAAGAACTCAAACGAACCAGTTGCTGCGCCATGGCTGCTCTCTTGGAGAAAGCTATCGTAACTTCTAGCGACGATAAAACACCCTTCCTCAACTGTTCCAACAGTTCTTCGACGGTGTACTTCTCCGTTATATTCAGCTCTTTCTCACTCAAAATTCCCGATTGCCGCGGGATGTCCATCTCGATTATGCGATTTGGATGCTCTGGAAGCGGTACTCGAAGCAAGTTCATGACGGATGCCGGAAGAAGCCATTCTTTTGGTATCTTGTCACGGCCAGCTTGTTGTTTGGCAGCAACTTTGCTTTCCCATGCAGTGATAGCCATGTTCGAGTGATGAGTGGAATCTGCGAGTTGTTGGTTGGACTACGGCTGGGCAGACGCAATGGTACCAACGATGAGCATCGGCACCTTCTTGAATATGTATATTAGTAGTACCCTCGGCTGCCGTAGAATGTAGCCTCGGCTGACGAAAGTGTGGTCTCGATTCCGTTTACAAGATAACGTGATACGGTGTTGTTATCTTGCCGGTCAGTACGTACTCTCGTTTCGTGTCTGAGCGGCAGTCGTTAGCGCATTGCTACCCCACAGCCGCCAACGCCAAGCCGGGGGATTGTTCGCTACACAATTCGTTCGATTAGGCCCGTTCGTTAGCGGAAACATGTATTCCGGGGTTCAGGATAGAGTTGCGGGGACGGCACAGAACGGAATAAGACCGCCTGAGGATTCGATTCGATATATATACGCAAGAAAGCCTGGGAAATGATAAGGGTCAATACTCATCCTACAAGCTGTATGCTTGGGGTGGATAGCAGCTTGTAGTGTATTCATTGTGATCCTTATCCCTCAGCGACGATGGCCGACACGAACTCCCAGAGAGGGGAGGGTGAAAACTTCTGGGCGCCTGGTACCATCCGGTTGGAGGATAGTAAGGCTTAGCACTTATTGCTAGTAAGATCGCATCCTGACAGCCAACGTCTAGTGACAACACCCGCGTCAGATGTCATCCTTCAACCTGTACCAAGCTCTGATCCAGACGATCCCTTAAACTGGAGCAAACTACGAAAATCCATCAATTTTGGCCTAGTCGGTTTTTTTGTGCTTTGGACATTCGTACAGCTGCAGACAGGCTCGACATCCTGGGGGTCCCTGATGCGTGAACTATACTTCACTGTCGACCAGCTGAATAACGGAGCCGCTATGTCTTGTGCTGGACTCGCGGTCGGCTGTATGATCTTCATGCCATTCGTACACAAGTTTGGGCGACGGCCACTATACCTTATCAGCTCAGCACTGCAATTGAGCTCGGTGATTTGGCAGGCCAAGACCAGGACGTACGGTGACTGGATGGGCAGCAACTTTCTTGCTGGACTAGGAGGTGCCATCAGCGAGGCTGTTGTACAAATCACCATTGCCGATCTGTACTTTGTGCACCAACATGGAACCATGAACGCATGGTACCTCATTTTCACATCCGTGGGTGCATCCCTCGGACCAGTAGCCTCCGGATTCGTGGTGGAATCCCAGGGTTGGAGGTGGATTTGGTGGTGGTGCACAATCTTCTTGTCGTTGAATCTCGCGCTCGTCTTATTCTTCTTCGAAGAGTCGAAGTATGTGCCAGTTCTCAACGGTCGCAGTGTAACCCATGGTGTTTCTGGCTCACATGGACCGAGCACCATTCATGCCAACTCGGAGTCGCAGAAAGTTGCAGACGTCAAAGGGGACGCCATACACAGTAGCATGGAGCGAGTGCAATCTAGAATCGACACGAACTTGCCACGGAAAACGTATCGCCAGCGCTTGGCCCTCTTCACTCCTTCAAACAACCGATCGGCCACCATTTCTACCAACCAGTTGTAGTGTTGCTCACTTTCCCCGCGGTCGGCTACGCCGCTCTCACCTATGGTACGGTACTTGCGTGCTTGGCACTGATGTCTTCGCTACAGGCGGTTTATCTGCTGCAACCGCCGTACAGCTTCGGGCCATCTGGAGTAGGACTCATGAACATTGCCCCTTTCACTGGCTCGTTCTTGGGTTTTTTCGTCGGCGGTTTCCTGAATGACAGGTCGATCATGTGGTTTGCCAGACGAAATCGAGGAATATACGAACCAGAAATGCGACTGTGGCTTGCTCTTGCTTCGGCAGTGCTGCTTCCAGCGGGTATTCTAATGTTCGGGCTGGCTTTGGTGAGAGTATGTTCAGAGGTTTCGATGGTTATTGTCCGACACTAACCGTACCATCAGGGCGTGCATTGGATAGTGTTAGCCGTGGGATTCGGCTTGTTCGGCTTCACATTCGTCTTGGCTAGCGGCATTGCCCTTGCGTATGTGACAGATTGCTATCAAGAGGTAAGCTGGCAACGTTGCGCTTCTTGAATGCACAACAATTGCTGACTTGCACATGTTCAGATCCTCGGGGACGTCATGATAGGTATCGTCTTCGTCCGAAATTTGTTCGCAGTCGTTATTCTTTTCGCGGTCACACCATGGACCAAGGATATGGGGTTGCAAAACGTGTGTATCATTACGGCAGCCTTTTGCTTCGCGGTCCTGCTGCTTCCTATACCCTTGCTAGTGTGGGGCAAGAAGATTAGGATCGCAACGGCGGAGAAATATAGGCGGATGGCGATGCGACAGCCAGCTCATCGAACACTTGAGTAGGGTACATTGCTGCTCTCGTGACAGCCAAATTCAGAAGGACACTGCAGTATGTCGAGGTGCATTTGATCGTAATATACAAAGCCAAAAGACGTCTGAGCTGTGTAGTTTCAATTCCAAGTTTGTCATTGAGGAAGCCATGAGATGATGTCCCTCCAATGGATTTGATCCGTGTTATCTTTGATGATCCAAAACGCTGTCAATTGCTTCTTGACCTTGATTCTCAGTTCTTTGGAAAATTCAACGACAGCGTCAATCTTCTCAAGCGCCATTTTGCGTTTAGCTGGATCGACCAACTCAAAGCAAGCGAACATGTACGGGATATTGGCACCTGGTACCGAGCGCCCGGTGGACTGGAGAATCAAGCGCAGCTCTTCTAGGATGGCATTTGAGATGACCGTCCCTTTTGCTGCCGCTGCACCATATGGACGTCTTAGTCGGTGTGTGATAAGTAAAACGGACCAGCGATATAGTCTTGCTTGAGCCAAAATACTAGCCAGCTCTTCTTGCAAGAAGCGAGTAATGTGGCTTTCGGGCATTCTTGGTATCCATCCCTCAACGGCCACTTCAATTGCGTCTAAAGCTTGAGTAATTTCAGATATATCAAGGTGTTTGTCATGGCGTAGCGAATTGGCGATCTTGCAAACGTCGTAAAGGTATGGCAACATGGGCCATGCGATGCCTAGGTATCGATCAACGACATCATCTAGTCCCTCAGCCTTGAATCGTAAGGTTGGTACCTCGCCCCGTAAAATACACTCTTCAGTCTCGGCTTGAACGAGACAGATGACGAAGGCGAGACAGTCTGAGGTAAGTTTCGTTGTCGACTCGTATATGGGCTTAATGAGGTCGAGGCTGTATCGGCATATCTCCAACGATTGTCCCGAAATATGTAGGGCAAAGGTGATTGCGCTTACTGAAAGCATCAGAACAGTAGGAAGGACTCCAGAATCGACGTTCTTCACAGACCGCAATGTGGAAACTGCAGAAGCTGCGCGTCTGTGGCCGATGACTCGGTCCTCATGGCCGGAACCAGGCTCATACTCGCAAGCCAGGAGAGCTGCCGTGGCGATCAACGAGTCTTGAACCCATGAAGTGGCGTTGTGGAGTTGTTGCGCAAAGGCTCTGTGGTGGCAGATGCGAAAGCTTGACGAGATTAAGAACTGGTCGATGCGCGTTCGTCCTTGGGAGACGCTCTTGACAAGGTACAGTTCCCGCTCAGTCAGGTCGGCGAATAAGGGTGGGGCCCTGGGCAGCGATACTAAGTCCCAATCCGGCATAGCTGGGGTGGCGGCCGAGGCTGGGCATTGTGGTGATGAAGCAGCAACAGAAAGGCTGCTATCGCTCCGAGCCGTGTGTAGCTGGCAGCGTGTGGTATCCTCAGTGCGTTGGTACCGAGGTTTGCGTCCGGCTGTCCCGACTGGTCGTAGGGTCTGACACGAGTTCTGAAGTCGGATGCATCGTTCGCACGTGTCCTGGCCAGGGATGCGCCTACATTTCTCTTTTACGGCATGGCACCTGTCGCATGCTCGTCGCGCTGATGGCCTGCCCATCGCAGACACTCGTCGGTGGATCGCAGTGGATACATGGTCAGTAAACGGTGGAATGTAGACGGCACGGGAGAAGAGTGCGAAACGCCGGCGGGTGCTGAGTAACCGCGACACGTGCCGTTCGGCAGCCCCTATGTCCTGTCGGATCGAGGTAAGGCATAAAAACGATACGCACTGCACTGTGATCCAGTTGCTGGCCAGCGTTGCATTAATGAGCAGATTGTCTCATCATTGTCGTCTCGATATCTCGTCATATAGTCTACATCCTTCAACTGTACGAATCCACCGAAATTCTGAATGAAGTCCTTTAATGCGCATGCTCCTCACCACATCCACAGTCAGGCCCAAATTCACGTCGGGCCTGCCTTGCTTCTTCCTGCCATGGCTGTAGGTTGACTGCCCTCTTCTCCTCTCGCACCCACTTTCCATGACCCTTCTTCTCATTGAGCTCAACGATAGCATCGAGCCAAGCGGCAAGCCTGTATCCTGCCTTTGCGAGCTGCTTGGTGACGACTGGAATAGCAGTGTCCCAGTACGCTCCTGACAGCTCTTGCGCGAATACTGCATCAGGACCATTAGGTATGACAGTAGAGCACACGTATCTATTGGCGTCACGAGCCCAGGTCATGGAGCTGCTGACTGCATCCTTCGCCTTCAAGCCCTTGAGCCATATCTTGCTCTCTTTCTTGAATTTGCCATGCTTCACTTCTGCGGTGAGATTATTGGCCAAAGCTAATGCATTGGCTTGAGAGAAGTTGCCGTAAGCCTTTTGGGGGATTGCTGTATCCCAGATAGAGTGGAGATTTGTGTGCGCGCCGTTGAAGGTGACATTAATGAGGTTGCCACCCACGGCAATGTTCTCTACGTGTAGTGGCTGGTGGATATCACCAATGAAGTGAATGACCCATTTGAGAGCTTTCTGCTGCTCAACGATACCAACAGACTTCTGGAAAGCGCGGCTGGAATAGTTGGCGATAGCAGAAACGATGCAACCTTCTTCGGAACAGTCACGCTCGTAGTCGACGTTGCAGCTTTCAGGCGGGTTGTCCAGAGAATCGATGTAGTGGTAGACAGAACTGAACTGTCCTCCAGCCTCATAGCGGTAGCTGTCGGCCCAGGTTGCCACGTTGGCTAGGTATGCGGACGAGGTGTCGTTCAAGAGAGTTTGGGCAAATTTGGCCGTCTTGTGAGAGACGAGATTTTGCGCCATGTATGCGACCGCGGTGTGACCCAGAGAGCCCCAAGCCGAAGCGTAGGGGACAGCCGCGAGGAGAGGCAGGAGTGACTTGGATGGCGCCATGTTAAGACGGTGGAGGTTGACTGGCCTGTGATCGGACTGTTCGTAGTGAAGGACAGGAAGAAAACTTGGTAACGTTCACATTGGAGGGCACGCGTTATTATAAGCAACTTGTGATGGCAATTTCTGTCAACCAATAGTCCCGACGGTATCGGCCATGCCCGTTCCATGGCTGCGGTGTTCGATCGAGACCCGGTAGAGTATGAGCGATGATATGCAGGTCTGCGGAGATGCTAGCCCGGATAGGAAGGTTCTACGCCCAGACAGGCAGGAGCTGGGTAGTTGTCTACAGCTTGAGCCTCTCGCAAAGAGCATGTTGTAGACTTTGATTGGACAACCCCAATGGCACAACGGAGATAAGCATTAGGAGAGAATATGAGCAAGGTAAGCAATTCTGTCCATGTCTAGTAGATGCATATACAAGGCTAATGCACACTATCAATGCATCAACGACAGCTAGGGTATCTCAAAACCATGAGTGTTCGCCAAACGCCAGATATAAATGCACGTGTCTATGATGGTGCTTATTGTGCAGCGTCCACCCGGTTGTCATGGCCGTTCGCGTTTACGTCCGTGTCCATCGCTGCCTCATCTTCGACAGGCTCCTCCGCGGTAGCGGGAGGCCCTTCGAACAGACGGATCCACCAGGCAGGTGGGAATAGCGGGCTGTGGTTGTTATGGAGCGGCGGGTAAATATCGTTGAGGTAATACCAAACTGATAATGATTAGTCGACATGCTAAAGAGTTGAGGGAGAAGACATACTATGACCGACAACGATGCCGCACATCTCATCCTTGGGTACCGTCCCGTGCATGATCAGCGAAAAGGCCAACAGCACCCAAGGCAAGTACGGCGCCTTGAAGACCAATAGCCCGAGAAAGCTGAGCATTGTGTCTGGGTTCTTCCTGCTCCAGATGTAGATGAGCGTGCTGGACAGAGCCGAGCCGAGGAAGGCCATGGAGAATATGGGCGCAATGCAGAGGAGGAGCGTAGACGCGAAGGTGAGAAGCCATGCGAAGTGTGCTGTTGAGCGGCCCGACGATTCCTCGAGCAGTCGCGCGTATCGTTGGAGGAAGAAGATGTGGTATAGGAGGTCGAGGCTGAGTGGGCCGAAGTAGAAGAAGGTAGTGAGTAGTCTCCAGTACTATCGGGTGTCAGCGCAAGCAGCGATTCTCAAGCATGGGAATGGACTGACCTGGCTCTTGAAGAAGACAGTGCGCACACTGTAGAAGAGCTGGAAAGGCGAGATGATGTGGCATTGCACCAGCACACTTGCGCTCAGCGCCGCCGTCATCCACCAACGCGTACATACGGGCATCTCGTAGAACCATTGCTCGAGCGGAAAGCCTCCGACCCCTCCTCCCATCATGCCGTCCCCTCCTTGCAAGACGTTCGCCATGGTGGAATGGTTGCTTTGGGAACAAGACGGAACCAGGAAAGCGAGGAAGAAGCAGATTCCAGCACCAACAACCGGATATAAAACGAAGGGACAGGTGTCGCCCAGCAAACGCAGTCACTTTCCGAGTGACAGATGGACCCCATGTGGCTACGTAACTTGTCCGACGGTCTGCCAAGGCGCTAGTCCAATCACCACACGATCGTACCTTCCGCGACCCGCCGGACAGTCGACACGGTCCAAGCTCCTGCCCTGGGTGAAAGCGGACCAGCCACAATGCCCACCAAGTAGAACAATGCGCCCGTGCTTCATCCGCCATCGCGACCCTTCCATGCCATTTCATCGCTATTCTTGACGACGACGTTTGTCCGCGAGACTCGACTTTGTACCAAGTGATCCCCGACGCGCTTTGGCATCTCGCGACTTTTCGTGACGTGAACGCGCCCTGACCCCTCCCACCGCGCGCATTCTTTCGGCGCATCGCGTCCCTCCAGATTCCAACACGCTGTGCAGCATTCCCACATACCAACATCGTCATGCCACCGAAATCTCCAACAAGGCGCAACAAGGCGCGGCCCTCGCGGGGCGGAAGAGCAAGTGTTGGAAGCAGGAGGGACTCGGGCAAGCGACGTACGTTCTATGTATAACTGACGAGTCTGCGCATCTGAGCTGACATGCGCACAGTTGGCCAAGCAGGACCTGCGCCAGATCGCGCGAAGAAGCGCTACAAGCCTGGCACCGTCGCTCTCCGTGAGATCAAGCGCTACCAGAAGTCGACCGACTTGCTTCTCCTGAAACTCCCATTCCAACGCCTCGTAAGCACCGGCTATGTGTACAGCACCACACCATTAACTAATGCCCTTCCAGGTCCGCGAGATTGCGCAAACAGTCACAACCGAGGATGGTCCCAACAGATGGCAAAGTCAAGCCATTGTAGCCCTACAAGAAGCCACCGAAGCCTTCCTTGTCAACCTCTTCCACGACGCAAACCTTTGCGCTATCCACGCCAAGCGTGTCACCATACAACAGAAAGACATACAGCTCGCTCGTCGTCTACGCGCAGCTTGGGGCGCGCCTGTCTAAGCTGTGAGAATATGATTTTGACAGATACCCAATGTTTAGTTGTATTGGACCCAAGTTTAGAATAAGTTGGGCCATCTCCTTTGCGATGTAAACTCTGTCTGCATATTTGCTGGGTGTTATTGGGAAGGCAATTGCGATTGGCGTTCTGTGGCGCATTGGGTACTCGAATGAGGCCTTTCTTCAGGGAGGTTTTTGCCCCCTTTGTTCCCATCTTCGCGTTAGCAACAACTATCGGATTGCTACTATATCCACTGTATACAAATTCATCGATAAAAAATGCACAACGCTAAAACCGCGTTCTATGGAAAGATTCCAACCACAGTCGAAACCCTACGTCGAAGTGGGAACAACTTGCAGTTTGCCATATCCGGAACATGTAGCGACATTGGCAATGCGCCGCTCATTGCTTGGGCTACTTGTGTATAAGGTAGATCTTGGCTTTGACCTTTGGTACTGCGTGCTGATCATTTGACAGATTTAATGCGTGCAAGAGTAAAACCGAACCGAACTATACTCCCCGCCGTGCTCCACTTGCTCGGTACTTTGGCTCTCTTATCACCGCGGGCTTCACCACCTTCCCCATGCGCTACTCAGTAACAATCCTATTACCCCACTCAACAGGTAACTGATCAACCAAGACATTGCCGAACAAACAAGTGACGAAAAGCATCCTTGGCAGTCTTGGCCATGCATTGTTCCCCGCCCATATCACTTCGCTAAGAGGCGATTCGACGTCATGAATGGGCTGCCTCAGATCAGCGCCGCTGCAACGGTGCGCGCGCTATAGCTCAATCAGGAAGCTCGATACCTGACATGTAAGCTCATGCAAGCTCGTACCTGGTCGATATGCAGCTGCATCAATGTACCCCAATGTCGTGCGACGTACTATAAAGACTGAAGCTACATACCCTTCCAAAGGCTACGCGTGCCAGGAAGTGGAGAGGTAGAACTCTTCGCACGTTGATCATCATCATGGCTGCCTTTGGGTTCTCTCTACTCGGAGCAGCCGGTCTTTTGAGCGGGGTCGTCAACGCCCAATTCCCTCCAAAGCCAGAAGGCATAACCATCCTAGAGTCTCAGCTTGATGAGGGAGTCACAATCTCGTACAAAGAGGCAGGTTAATTCTTCGTACGTTACCTGAAATGTCCACTAACTATCACCAGACTGACCTTTGCGAAACCACCGAAGGCGTCCGAAGCTTCTCCGGTTATGTTCATCTCCCGGTTGGAGCACTGGCCGACCTTGGAGTCGAAAACCAAACATATGAGATCAATACTTATTTTTGGTTCTTTGAATCGAGGAAAGATCCTGCAAATGCCCCTCTATCAATTTGGATGAACGGTAGGCGACTTACCAATGCCTCTTGTGACCTTCACTGACATTGTTGAGGTGGACCTGGCTCTAGTTCTTTCGTTGGCCTGTTGCGTGAAAATGGACCTTGCTTCATTGGCGCCGACTCTAATAGTACTTATCTCAACGAGTGGTCATGGAACAACGAGGGTGAGTTCATCCGAATTATCACATCCGATCTATACAAGACAAAGGCTGAACAGCAAAGTCAACATGCTATACCTCGACCAGCCCGTCCAAGTTGGTATGAGCTACGATAGCTTGGTCAACATCACCACCAATCTAGACACAGGTGATCTTGAAGTGGTCGACTTTGAAAATGGTCCTGTCCCCTCACAAAACAACAGCTTCTACGTCGGTACCTATCCCAGTGAAAATTACAATCTCACCACCCGTGGTACTGAGAACTCAGCACGAGCTCTCTGGAACTTCGCTCAAGTCTGGTTCCAGGAATTCCCTGAACACAAGCCCAATGATGATAGAATCTCAATCGCAACTGAGTCGTACGGAGGTCGTTACGGACCTGCTTTCGCGGCCTATTTCCAGGAACAGAACGAGAAGATAGAGAATGGAACCTGGAGCGAAGCCGGACAGACTCACATACTTCACCTTGACACTCTACTCATCATCAACGGCTGCATTGACCGCTACGTGCAGTGGCCGGCTTACCCAACAATGCAGTACAACAATACTTACGGTATCCAGGCCGTGAATGAGTCGCGCTATGAAGAAGTGCTCGACAACTTATACCGCGAAGGAGGCTGTCTTGATCAAATTGAAGAATGCCGCAACCTGAGTCTTGCGTACGACCCTACCAATCAAGGGTTCAATGAGACCGTCAACGAAGTTTGTGAGTCTGCCGAGACATTTTGTTCTGAGACAATTCGGGACCCCTATTTTGACACCGACCTGAACTATTACGACATCTCCGCCCCCGGCGCTGCAGCCTTCCCACCTCCGTGGTATCAGGGCTGGCTCAATCAGCCTCATGTGCAGCAGGGGCTAGGAGTGCCCTTGAACTGGACTCAGTCAAATTCGGCGGTATCGCGAGCATTCCGCGGCATCGGCGACTACCCACGTCCGGGCTGGAAGGAAGATTTAGCATACCTTCTCGAGGAAGGTATCAAGGTTACACTAGTGTACGGTGACCGAGACTACGCCTGCAACTGTGAGTAGTATTCCGCAAGCCTGCGCGTGGCACATCAACTAACTTTGCATAAAACAACAGGGTATGGCGGTGAGCTGCTCTCCCTTGCAATTCCTTACGACAATGCAACCTCTTTCGCAGGTGCAGGGTACGCACCTGTCATTGTCAATGACACCTATACTGGAGGTCAAGTGCGTCAGTACGGAAACTTGTCGTTCACACGTGTTTATGAAGCTGGTCATGAGGTACCGGCTTACCAGCCCGAGACTGCGTACAGGATCTTTACACGTGCACTCTTTAATCGCGACATCAGCACCGGAAATATCTCTACCACCGAAAACCCGGATTATGCGTCTGAAGGACCAGGTGATGTGTACAACATTACTAATGAGCCAATCGTCGACGAAGGCACACAGTGCTACGTTCTTGATCCCGGTCAGTGTACGGCGGAGCAATGGGAGTCAGTCATGAATGGAACGGCATTGGTGCGGAACTGGATTGTTGTAGACACCAACACCAGCTACTTGTTCCCAGATCTCGTGGGTACTGGTACCTCTGGTAATGGGACCTCACCCTCGGGAACCGGCATCCCCATGCCTACTTATACTGCAGCTGCATCCGCTAGTCTTTCTGTGAGCGTTCTGGGCAGTGCGGTCATTGCTGCAGTTGTAGGGAGCTTGGTGACGCTATAGTCATCGTAGAAAGGGAACTTAATCTTGCGTGCGCTAGGACTATGGATATAGGCTGTTCTCGAGTTGTGCACCAAGCGAACTAAGGCCTGCCCTTGTTTGTTTCACACCGAGTTCTGCCTCTAAAATTGAGAACATAATTCTCCCAAATCTGAATACGACAATGATTTGGATCAATCCAGCTCCGTACTGACATATGCTACGTTGTCGTATTGTCTGCTGATGCATTGGGCTCGCGTGACGTCATGACTTCCTAATGCTAAACCATACTTTTTCTGAGAAGAGGTTTATCGACACAACATCTTCGACTCGTCTTAGGTTTCTCAAGCAGGTATAATCTTGAAAATTATGTCCCACTCCACGTATTCCGCCTTTCAGAGGCACCTGCTCTTTTTCTCAACATCTACCTCTCCACCGAGACTTACTTTCGGATCAGCCCTTCGTGCAGGCGTATCACTCGGCCTTGACTTCCCTGTCGCAGTTTTACTGAGTCTATCTTTACGGCTGATGTACGCGCCAATTCCTTTCCTCTGGTCTCCCATCGTCGTGGACAAGATCCCACCTTCAGCTCACCGCACACAATTAAGTTCCGCAAATCTGCCAAAAGGCAAAGCCGACTATACGTACGCAGAGCTTATATCACTTCTCAATAACAGCCCGGAAGAGAACAGGGGTAAAGGCTGGTTAAAGCACAAGATCGACCAGGGACATGTGGTTGGGTTTTGGACAATGTCGGCGAATGCGAGAACGCATACTGTCAGCAGAGACGATGTCGTACGTTTCCAACAAGGAGAATGGGAGGAGCCTGTCGTTCAGAGGAGACGTGCAAGGGATGACGTATTGCCGCTTTGGCGAGGCGGGCCAATTTGGGTTGGTGGTCACAGCTGGGCTGTATGGAAATTGTTGGGAGTGCGGGTTTATGAGACCAAGAAACAGTAGTCACGAAACCTTTGTTTTGCGATGGCAGAGCAAGACACATGCATATTTGCGCTTTTGGGGGTGGGGAGATCTTTGTGACAGTTTTTCAGGCGTCAGGCTTTCCGCAGATTTACCACGCACGCTTATGTTAAGGCTTACATAGCATCACAAACTGGCACAATTTCGATGGCGAATCTAGGTTCTTGCATGCGAAACCATAACCCGCTTTTTTGGTCCGAAGAAACCGTTTTTACGCATCTGGGCGTTTTTCGATCCTGCCTTTGACAGCAGCCGAAATTCGGCAGACCCGCTTTTTCTTTGCTTGAGGACGCAATTCCGCGCTCACGTAAAGCTTTACAACATGACGATTCAGCATGCAAATGTCGTGAATATTATGCGGCAGACTAGCTCGCAAATCGCATCGCGATGTCTTTTGCAGACAAAACTGCCTTTTCTTTGGACAACGATATTGATTTTTACACGGACATTTTCTGCACCTGCGTCCAAACGCATCGGGAAGCCGATCAGCACTGTCGCCATCGCGGTTCCATCTCAGAACGTGCAGCCAAAACAATTTAGACGCGAAATTTGCAGGTCTTCCATCGTCACACGCCATACACGGTGACCTTTCGATATCTGAAATCCGTTTCCTACGACCCAATCACCGTTACAACGCTGGATCCGACGAAAACCCTTTTTTTGTTGTCTCAACTCACCTTAAGGGAATGGAGGAGGCAAGAGGCTTCTCAGAGCCAACAATTGAGAAGCTATCGTCTTCCCAAGATAGCGACTTCGACTGCAGTGATTCCCACGAAAACATGGACCGCCGCAGCTCCCACCACTCTGCGCATGCTCCCAAGCAGCATCAGGACCTGGAATTAGCGAAGACGAAATCCATTGCAGAGACCATGTCTCCAGTTCGCGAGATCCTCTTTGTTGGTTTGCTTTGCTCCGCCCAGTTCGTAACTCAGGCAGGTCTCCTCGGCACCTTGAATATCCTGCACATTATCGGACCCGATCTTGGCATCACCGACCCTGGCGTTCTATCATGGCTGATAGCAGGCTATTCATTGACAGTTGGCACTTTCATCCTGTTATCCGGTCGATGTGGAGATCTATTCGGGTACAAGAACATGTTGATTGTGGGTTACGTTTGGTTCGCTATCTGGAACCTAGTGGCCGGTTGCAGTATATACGTTGAAGGGAACGGTGGCCAAGTGCTGTTCATCTTCTCGCGTGTTTTGGGTGGCATTGGACCAGCAATATTACTACCCAATGCACTTGGCCTTCTAGGCGCGACCTACAATGAGGGACAGAGGAAGGACATGGTATTTTCACTATTTGGAGCATGTGCGCCCGGTACGTATTGTTTATGTGATTCTCTGGTATGCCTCCTGACGTTTTGTAGGTGGTGCTGTAGTTGGCGGAACATTCGCTGGCCTCTGGTCGCTCTTGTGGTGGCCATGGACCTTCTGGACATTTGGCATTGCGCTCTTCTGCCTTGCCATCCTCTCGATCTTCATACTTCCCTCTGTACCTCTAGATGAAGACGTTCGCAGCCTCTCGCATAGAGAGCGAATCCGAGAGCTTGACCTGCTCGGCGCAACTGTGGGTATCACCGCCATGATATTGTTCAACTTCGCCTGGAACCAAGCACCAGGATTCGGATGGGAACACGCGTACATCTACGTTCTGTTGATAATAGGAATTCTCCTATTCCCCGTGTTCTTTTGGATAGAGATCAAGGTTGCCAAAAAGCCACTCATTCCGTTTAATGTTCTTAGCACGGATGTCTCGTTCGTATTGACCTGCATAGCATGCGGCTGGGCTGCGTTCGGTAAGTAATCACCTCTTCAAAGTACTATTAGGTGGACAACGTCACTGACAACGAACTTAGGTATCTGGATCTATTACTTTGTTCAATTCCTCCAGCAGCTGCGCGGCGACTCTCCGCTCCTTACAATGGCTCACCTTTGTCCTGTCGCAATCTCGGGCTTCATCGCCGCGGTCACCACGGGCCATGTCATCTCACGTATCGGTCCAGGATGGGTAATGCTCATTAGCATGCTTGCTTTCTTGACTGGTAGTATTCTCGTCGCTACACTGCCGATCGGTCAAATCTACTGGGCGCAAACGTTCGTCACCACGCTCATAATCCCATGGGGTATGGACATGAGCTTTCCTGCCGGCACACTGATTATGAGTAACGCCGTCGCTAAGAAGCATCAAGGCATGGCAGCAAGCTTGGTCAACACGATCGTGAACTACAGCATCAGTATTGGGGTTGGCATTGCGGGCACAGTGGAGGTGCATGTCAACAGTGGCGGAGCAACGGTCGCGGACGAATTGAGCGGCTATCGTGGTGCAATGTACGTTAGTGTCGGGCTGAGCGCCATGGGTGTGGTGACGAGTTTGTTGTTCTTGCTCAAGATGCGACTGAGGGAGAGGAAAGCGCAAAGGAGAGAGGTGTAAATATACAATTGTAATCCTTAGTCTTCCCGGGTACCGTAGAAATATAGCAGCCGTATTCATAAAAGAGATACCAAGAAGCTATTATACTCACAGCCTGTGTCTGCACGCCTCCGTTAGTTGAGCATGTGATTACGTCATCGTGTAAAGTGATCCCCGCCACCACCTTCGTCCTCATTCCCAAGCATCACGATCATCGCCACGTTCCAGCACCCACATCTACAGAAGACTACCTGTTTTTCACCTGTGTTAACAGGACATGCCCTCACGATACTTACAGGACTAAGCTAGCGAGCTGACAGGGTACGCAACAGTGTTTGCCTCTGCCTTAAAAGTCGCAAAAAGCGCGGTTCGTCATACACGATCTTCTGGCAGATCTGCGCAACACCTTGGGATAAAGTGTGGACTCCGGCCAGTCTCCCATGCACCCCTCTCAGTGCTCCAAGCATAATTCTGGTCCTATAATGGCGCTTCCCACTAACCCACCAATCTATACGCTGCCGGAGGAGTTGCTGTTGCAAATCGTCTCCCACCTTCCCGACTCGGATGCACCCAAATCCCTCAAGCACCTATGTCTTACATCTCGCAAATTTCGAGCGGCCGGGCAAGAAGTTCTGCACACTGTAGCGAAGCTGTCGATTTCGTGTGGCTGCCACCCAAAGGTAAATCCTCTTCTGAGACTGCTTCGTACGCTCTTCGACCGCCCAGATCTAGCAATCCAAGTGAAGACTCTACGCATCAGAACTGTTCGCAAGGATGTCGCGAAGCTGTGTGAAGATCAAGGGTTCAGCCTCACGTCTTTGCGAACGCGAAGTTTAGCAAAGCTAGAGGAACTGGGGTACATAAAGCATCCTTGGTACAGAACCATCCAAAACTCGATCGAATCTGGGTTTGCTGGAGTACTACTTGTACTCCTTCCAAATCTCACCCACCTCGAGTTCTGGGTGAAAGACCATCATCGCGGCCCACCTTCAAGCGAGTGCATCTCTGGGCTTTTTGGGGGCATGTCCGCTCCTGACAGCATCATCAACTACTGGAGTACTCTTCGTCATCTTACTACCAGCGATACGCATTTTTTCAAGTCCGGAATCAACTTCGCTAGTCTCACAAGCCTCGATCTAAAGACAATCTTCATCGGCACCATTCTGCGTCTCAACGGACCTGGGTGTCTGCAGGGTGCTGAGAACCTTCAGGACCTAGCTTTGACTGTATCGATACAGTTCGCCGATCGTCTCTTGATTGAAAAGGCAGAGATACAACTAGGTGACCTATTCGAAGCACTCGGTTGCGTTCAGCTTCAAAGTCTCAAAATACTGCTGTAAGTCCGCATATTTGGTATTTCCGCTGCAAATGCTAAGCTCTCACCCTCACAGTATTAACGACGGCTATCATATCGGCGATGACCTTAATACGCAGCTCGAAGCAGGCTATTTCATGGACCAATTGAACTACATGCAAGATGCTCTAGAGACACTTTCTATCACGCTCGAAACGACCGACGATGACTCAGAACTTGAGTGGCTGCTCGATATGGTAACAAGCCCGAAGAATTCTCTTAATCACTTCACCACCATGAAACATCTTGTCCTCCCGCAGGCGTTCATCCTTGCCACCGGGTCTGCGCCTTGGACAAGCAAGTCTTGTCAACCGAAGGATTTGCCACCTAGGCTAGAGACACTAGAGATATTCTATCCCGGGGAAGAGGTTGAGGATTGGGTAGCTGGCTTCGTAACAGAAAACACCGATGAGGCCTCGTCTTTCGTGGCTCTCAATGAGATCACGTTGACTTGTCGTGACGAGGTTGGTACACCGGCCTCACACTTCTTTACGGAAGTCGACAAGATCTGGTGGGAGCTAGCGACGAATCAAGGGATTAACACGTACACCTTCTGCCAGATCCAAGAACATAGATCTAACTTGGCGGAGTTGTGGTACGAAGAAAGCCTGGCCACAGCTGATAGTGAAGAAGAGCAGGATGAGGAAGAGGGCGAACGGAACGATGAAACCGATGGCGATGGGGCTGGCGATGACGACGAGATGTTCGGCATTCCCTTTTGATCGGAGCACATTCAAGCCTTCCTTCTCGGTACAGATATTAGCAGTATACTTCGGATGCGTGGCGTTCATAGTGACGCATTGGCCGCATGGGTGAACGTGAGTACAGTCAGATCTTATCGATGTGGCGAACGACATTTCATACTCTATCGAAACATTGGTCGACGGGGTAGAACCTCAGCATTGGAAGTTGTGGGGGTGACATGCTGTTATGCATGACTAGCGTACTGATTCGTGGGCCTAGAAGCTCATTGGAGAGTTGGCGGCGTTCACGCAGGTTCCCGGTCAGCGATACGAACCGAAGTCCGCCCCACCCTCAATGCATAACCGAGATAATTCTGCATGCATCAAATATTGGACACCACGCCTGCATATCCCCGTGGCTATACTACTGATCGACTCATGGTTTCCTATGAACAATGCGGAATCCGAACACCCAGTCCGATCATGTGGCGTGTACTTCCAAAGTCATGACATGCAGCTAGCATGCACCCTAATATAATATACTGCCAGACCTTACAAATGGGCTGAAGCGCACGATGCTGAACTTATTGCTGAGGTAGTCCGCGAAGTTCTAATCGCTCCATGGCGTTCGTTACGAGCACGGAAATCCTGCCATACACCATGAACTTAGTTCATCGCCCTCGTGACTTGGCGATGGCTTTCAGACGTCTAATTTAGGGTGCACATGTATCTAATCGATGCATTTTCTCACCAGAATTGCTGCTCTTAGCAAGGGTGGGCGTTCACCACACCATGCTTGCAGGTTTCATGCCAGGGCTTGCCGCGAAGGATGCGACGCTGGTAGACTTTGGTGTCATGTAAGCTGACGAGCGCTGAGAATTTCGTCGACAACTATAAGTTCAGGGACTTCCCTACAGTAAAATCCACATCAGCAGCAGACCACCAGTCTTCCTCTACGCTACCTCACTATCAACATGAGCTTCAAGTTACCTTTATCAGCGATTTTCGCTGCGTTTGCCGTATTTGCTAGACTTGTCGACTCTACCTCTATCATTATCAGCCGCTCCGGATGGACTGCAGTGTCGGACAGCTTCCAAGCAGGCAACGAGCCTTCCCGAGCGCTTGATGGGAACGGAACAAGCTTCTGGCACTCGAAGTATTCGCCTGCCCCTGTTGAGCCTCTACCCAATTGGATTATTGTAGACATGAAAGCGTCCTACAACGTGAATGCAGTCAGTCTTCGGCCGCGTCCAAGCGACAACGCGAATGGTAGGATAGGAAGTCACAAGATCGAAGTCAGCGCCGATGGTACAAGCTGGCAGATCGCTGCTATCGGCACATACAACAATGATGCGACCACGAAGAAAACCTTCTTTGTTGCAAGGCCGGCACAATACGTAAGAATCACAGCGACATCCGAGGCGCAGAGTGTTGCGAACCAGTGGTCGGCCATTGCTGAGATCAACGTCTTCCAAGACACAACGTATATACCGCCGGCGGCAGGCAAAGGTTTGTGGGAGAAGACCGTAGACTTCCCGCTAATACCCGCAGCTACTTCGTTGCTCCCAAATGGAAAAGTGCTAATCTGGTCGGCTTTCGCAAAAGACAACTTCGGGGGCCAAAGAGGCTTCACTCAAACTGGAATCTACGACCCAGCCACGGGCGAGTCGAGTCAGCTCGAAGTATCGAACACGCAACACGACATGTTCTGCCCTGGCATATCTTTGGACTTTAACGGTCGAGTCATCATTACAGGTGGCAGTGATGCTGCAAAAACCAGCTTATACGACCCGTCAAGCGGTGCATGGAACCCAGGGAGTAACATGCGGATAGCTCGGGGATACCAGTCCACTGCTACATGTTCTGACGGACGAATCTTCAATATTGGCGGATCCTGGAGCGGAGGGACGGGTGGCAAAAATGGGGAGATATACAATCCTACCTCGGATGCATGGACCCTTCTACAGAACGCTCTTGTCAGTCCTATGCTTACGGCCGATCGCGGAGGTGTATGGCGCTCGGATAATCATGCATGGCTCTTCGGGTAAGACGCACGCACGCTTGATATAACTTTGATACTAACAACATATAGCTGGAAGAACCAGACAGTGTTCCAAGCTGGTCCATCTATCGCCATGAACTGGTACGAGACTATAGGAGCTGGAAGCACTACGGGTGCCGGCAACCGACTGGATGACGGGCATGCCATGAACGGGAATGCCATCATGTTTGACGCAGTAGCCGGAAAGATACTCACTGCAGGAGGAGCTGCCGACTACGAGAACAGGTATGTACACGAGCCAGAACGGTGTAGACCCCATAGATGCTAACGGCGCCTTTCCCTAGCGATGGACGTACAAATGCGTATATTATTACCATTGGTGCGCCAAAGACGAGCCCGACCGTCACCAAAACACAGTCTATGTCATATGCGCGTGGTTTCGCCAATGGTGTTGTACTGCCTGACGGCACAGTTTTGGTTACTGGTGGGCAGTCGCGACTGCAACCTTTCAAGGATGACACTGCGCAACTTACTCCTGAACTCTGGGATCCAACGACTGGTAGATGGACCCAGCTCAACCCTATGCAAGTGCCAAGAACGTATCACTCAGTAGCAATCCTTCTCCCAGATGCGACGGTTCTCAATGGTGGCGGTGGCTTGTGCGGTCCCTGCACGCAGTACGGCGGAGTGCCAGAGAGCAATCACTTCGATGCTGAGATCTTCGTGCCGCCTTACCTGCTCAACGCTGACGGGACAAGACGTGCACGTCCTGTTATAAGTACTGTGGCCTCTAGTGTCAGATTGGGTGCGACCTTGAGCATCACAACGACAGGATCTGTCACGAAGTTCTCCCTGATCAGATTCGGTACCGCTACTCATACCGTTAACACAGATCAGCGAAGAATCCCGTTAGCATTGACGGAAAGTGGCACTAGCTATACAGTAAATGTCCCTATTGATCCAGGAGTCGCGCTGCCTGGCTATTGGCTGTTGTTCGCTATCGACGCTAGTGGTACACCTAGTATAGGCAAGACGATCAAGTTGTTCGTGTAATAACAGGAAGTTGTAATTTCCACATAAAAACAGCGGAGTAGTTTCTAATAACGTAGGTCACAAGCGAGTGGAACCTTTAAGCGAGTGGAACCTTTAAGCGAGTGGAACCTTTAAGCGAGTGGAACCTTTTTGCTAAGACCTAACTAAACCTGCAACTACGCACTACTATACAGCACCGTTAAGAATAGTAATTAATATTTGTAGTAGCCTAATTTATTTAGAAATATCTACTACATCTTACGTACATGTGCGCAAGTTGTGTCCTACCTTGCCGCAGGGTCTACAGCGTCTTTAAGACAATTTACCTACTTTAACGCGCGCCTTCTTCTTTACCTTCTTCCTATTACTGCGCGCCTTAAACTCCTTTAGAGTTATTAGTTAAAGGCCTTCCTCTATTATAAGGGTCTCCTTCTATACTTACTTTCTTTTATATAATTTACGTTACGTAGTAGCCTTATTAGCTGCTTCAAGCTTAGTAATACGCTATTATAATAATACTAAAGCATGTGCTTTTATCTCTGCGCCTTTAGAGAAGTTTTTTACTACCTTAACTATTAAAGTAGGTAAGCTATCTATATACCTCTAAAACCTCTTAAGAACTAGCTTCGTTTAAGACCCTAGTTCTACAGTATTACTTAGGGTTTATAACTACTAAGGACTGTCCTTAATAGTAGGTAATAGTAGAGTACGCAGGCAGACGTTAAGCGTTAATATAATAGCTTCTAGATTAAATAGAACTAAGCTAGCGCCTTAAAAGCCTCTTAGGATATTGCTCCTTGTATTAGAGACCTTGTAGCCAGTAAGAAAGCACAGTAAGAACTCTATTTTCGCAATATAGGTAATCTTATTACACATTAGCTTCTTAGCTTAACACCTATACGCCTTCTTTAGTAGCGTAAGGTAGCTAACGTTAAGCAGCTGTAGTAGATATAAGGAGTTTAGAGGCATATAGAGGGTAATAATCTTCTTCTCTTTATAGAGCTAGTAGAAATTAATTAAGCTGTAGCTCTTATAACTATTAAGAACTAGCAGGCAGTAGCTACTAATAACTCTCCCCTTAGTATGCCTATTAAAGTGCTCTAGCTACTTAATACTAAGCTTGTTTATTATCTAGCTATTCTTAGAGACTATAATTACTAAGTCTTAAGGTAGGCTCTCCTCCTTGTACTAGGCAGAAAGGTAGTACTTGCCTTAGAAGATAATAAAGGGTAGAATCGCCTACCCTGTTGCGTTTATGCCCTAGATAGCTATAACCTACTCCTAGTTACCCTACTATACTATCTTTAGCTGTCCTTAATAGTCTACTACTATAACTACTACACTAGTTAATATTACGCTTATTATAAAGCTAGTCTTATTAAAGTTGTACTTATCTTCGTCCTAGATGCTGTACTTAGGCTTCGTATTCTGTACTAGGCAGAACTAGCCTTATATAACCTTAGGATCCTTATAGAGGGCTCTACTATAGTCGTACTTTCAATTAAACTTAACTTTAAGCTTAGGGCGACGCTTTACAAAGTTTGTAGCCTACCTCTTGCTAACTAGCTTCTAATTATAGATCTTAAGTAAAGAATTAGCTATCTCTATAACGTTAGCAAGCCTAGGTATATATCCCTACTCTATTAGCTTAAGAATATGCTTAATAATTACTACCTCTTTAGATCCTTAAAGAGCTATTAATTTAGGCTTACAATCGCGTTAATAGGGCGTTCTAGCGAGTCGTCTTCGTAGTGTGCTTTTAGAGACGTTGTAGGTAGCTACAGCGCGTTGCGGCTTAAATGTCGCGTCTTGTTAGATAGCCTGTAAGGCAAGTTGTATATTTCTTTTGTTTAAGGTCTTTTTAACATTATTACTGTCAAGCAATAGAGTCCTTATAGATACGAGATGCACCGCGATAGTAGAAGTAGAGGTATATTGCCTTGTAAGACTAGAGACGAACCGCTGTCGAGCCACAACAGCAGTAAGGTAGGCTAATATACTGCGA